AATGTCAACACAAAGCTTTCTCTTGTGTCTGTGAATTCCTAAAAGACCTCCAAGTGAACTGCCTCGCAGAGTGTTAGACTGCATTTATTAGCTCCTACTTTGAGGGAAAATCTTATCCTGCATATGATCAGCACACCCAGTGTGTTATGGAGCAAGTTTTTAATACAAGAATGGCTGCATTTTACTCCATCACAGCAGGTGACTACAGCTACCCTGACAGTTAAGAGTGGGTTCACTGCTTTGGGCGAGTCACTCATATTTCCATAAAGTCACTGTGTAATTTCAGCTGGATATTGTGTCAAAATTAGTCTGTAATACAGTACTCCTTTGACAGTTATAATTACTACACTTCATTTGAAGTGATGCAGTTGTCTTCTCCTGAAGAGCAAAGAAACTTTTTTTTTTACATTTTCTTTTTGAAATGCAAAATAACAGCAAACAAACACTAACAAGTAACAAAAATTTGACAGATTACACGGCCCTTTTGATTGCTCACTTACCCTGCTGCATCCACTCTCAGCTTTTTGAATGCTGTTTGTAGACTCTCTTCCTCCTCATCTTTAGCTTCCAAGTCCATGGATGTGCTCTCAGTGGGTAACCAGCCGTGCCATATAGAATAAACTGGAACACAGAGATTGGGGTTTGATGCTCAGGTCTGAACCCACGAGGTCTGTACAGAACCGACTGACCCTGCCAGGGGTGCTTGTTCTTCTGCGGGCAACACCCTTCCTTTAGGATCAGACCTGCCCAGGGCTGCTCACTGTGAAACCCAAGTTTCTCAGAGCAGGCCCAGCCTGTGCCAGAAACAACAGGGAGTCTTTTTACCCACGAGTGAACAGATGTTATGGATCCTGCCCACCCGTGTAACTCGCGGCTGTGAGCAGGACACAGAGCTCCAGGAAGGACAGAACCACAGGCTGGCTGGGGCTGGAGGGGATCCCTGGGGGTCCTCCCTTATTGCTCCAGCAGGGCCACCCGGAGCTGGCTGCCCGGGCAGCTCTGGAGTGTCCCCAGGTAGGGGAGGCTGCGGAGCTGCCCCGGGCTCAGCCCCTCAGCGCTCCCCCCAGCTCGGGCAGCACCCCCCGTGTGTTGGGGCTCGCCCACGGCCTCTGCTCCCGCCCGGGCACCGCTGATCGCAGCGCGCCCCTGGCCCGTCCGCCCCACACCTCGCGGAGCCCCCTCCGGGCCCTCCTCCCACCGGGGCGGCCGCGCTGCCCCCATGACCTCCCCCCCCGCCCCTCAGCCCGGGCCCCGCGGGCCACACCGCCCCCCGCCCCGCGGCCTCTGCGCGGGAACACGCGCGGCGGCCCCTCCGCGGCTCCGGTGTGGGGGCTGTCCCGGGAATGTCCCGGGGGTGTCCCGGGGGTATCCCGGGGAGCGTCCCGGGGGGGTGTCCCGGTACCGTCACTCACCCGCCGCCTTCCCGGGGGGCGCGCAGCACAACAGGACGTGACGTCACGGCCCCCGCGGGGGCGCGCCCGAGCCCCGCCCGCCCCTCGCCCGCCGCGCGCGTGCGCGAGCGCCGCCTGTTCGTGAGGGGGCGGCGGGCCCGGCCCGGAGCGCGGAGAGTGCGGTGAGTGCGGGGATCCCCCGGCCCATCCCCATCCCCATCCCCATCCCCATCCCCATCCCCTGTCCCTCACCCTTCCCGCTCCCCCGGGGCCGCTGGGCCCTGCCGTGTCCCCCCGGCGAGCCCCCCCCCCCGCGCTGGATCGGAGGGCGCCGGGGGAGCCCCGCGGGGTCCGCGCTGAGTCACGGCCCGGTCCGGTCGGGGGGTCTGGGATGGGG